TTTATGTGTTTTATTGAAAGTCTTACTTTCAAGTGATTCTCATTTTGGGACATGTAAATAGTCAGAGAGGTATTTTGCCCCCCTTAAAAGTTAGCAGGGACTTGTATATATGGTAGTGGAAGAAGACTGTAATGGGACACTGTCTTACGATTTTTGCAAATAGACCAAAATGATCATTGCACAAATAATTTCAAGGTGGAGAGCTCGTTCGGGTCAGTTATCTGCACAGAGGGTGCGTAACAACTTCCAAAGGTTTTGAGATTACAGCTTGCTCTTTTACCCTGTTCTAATTACCCCAAATCATGTGGGTAATCCATTTGAAAACCAAACTGATTTTGATTTTGCCCTGCTAGCCTTACATTTTCCTGTTTGATTCTTCTATTAATTTCTTCTAGCAGAAGATGGGAGATAGTATGCCTGTTGCTGCCTTCCATTAAAACTGCTGGGTGGGTGGCACAAGGCAGTTGCATCTTGACCTGTTTTGTTTTGGGTTTTTGTTTTGTTTTTTAAGAAAAGGGTGATTTGTTAAATATACCGCAAACAATTTCACTTCCTAATTTCCTCTATCCAAACTTCATTCAAAAGTGTGTTATTTTTTCCTTGTCATCGTTTATGTTAATCAGAACATGTACATTGGCAACTATGTCTCTCATATTGCAGCTTTGTGTCTCTTGCTTTTCTTTCTGCTTATTGTTTCTTCTTCCTGGATTTCCTGTGAAGTCAGCTCTCTCCACAGAAGTGTGATAAAATCACACTTCTTATTTCCCCAGAGGTTTTGACAGGCATTTCATGGAAAGCTTCATTTTAGTCTCATGGAACCAGGGATAAGCTAATTTGTAGGAGTTTAAAAAGAACAATGTATATGAAAAACCTAGGTAATCGATGGTTATTTGAGACTATTGTGCAAAGTACAATAACAAGAAGAGCTGAATGAACCACAACATCTACAATATAAGATGAGATTCATTACGCAAAAGATTGTAAAGCTGACTTACTAACAATTTAAATAAGAACACTGGGTGCTGTGTTTTAGGACTTAGGCACCTGAGACTGTGCTGCACAAGTGTTTGTTGAAGTCTGGAGACTGTGACTGGAGATCTTTCCAGCAGTTTCAACACAGACTCAGGCCTCTAATGAAAATGCAGTACATGGTAGTTGCTGGTGATAAATGTATCCTTCTGTACAACAACCATTTCATTAACCTTTAGTGCTCAGGACTTCACATAGTGAGCTAGTGGCTTCCAGTATGAACTTCACTGAGAGAAATTTTGTGGACATCCATTTTGTAAAATTTGCTAACAAATGGATAAACTGGCAGATGAGCTGGGAGTGCTTCATTCAGAGCAATTTAGTTAATTTCTGTATTTTTTTGGTATAGTGGACCTCATTTTTCCTTTGAATAGTGTCTGTCCAGTGCCCTTTTTATGTTGTACTACTAGTGATCACGCACAAAAAGCAGTGCAATGTTAAAAGGGCATTGGCCAGCAATACTATCTGCGTTACTCATTGTTGTTGTTGTTGTTATTATTGTCAAAAGTCACAACTATATATCTGAGACCAGAAGGTGTTTTGAAAAACAACTGTAAAATGGGATTTTACAAGTTTGGTTTTTTTGCACTCACTATCTTGTCGTTATTTGCCAAGGAGAAATGTTCACTGGTCTTTTAAATGACAAATGCCATCAGCTCTATGTGTGTGTTTCCTTAGAAATAAGTGCCCTACAAAGAGGAAGGAACACTGTGTAGTATTCTTATTTCCTATAATGTGTTCTAGAGAAATGTTACAGGTGTGGAGTTGACTCAGGTTGTTGCACTGTGTGCATCAGCAATCATCCATATCGCTCCACTCTATTCCTCTGTTAGTTTGTATTTTCTTGTTAAGAATCTTGGAGCCTTCAAACCCTAAGAGTTCTCAAACTTTTTATATGGAGTTACTGTTTTTGTTAGAAAGAAATACCTTTATTGAGATTTATGAAATACACCCCCACTTTGATGGTGCTCTAACATGCATGTGGTAATGCACACCCACAATGTTGGGAAATGAGTGTGTGTCTGAGTGCATTTTAAAGAGATTGAACACCATCAAATGGGAAGAATAAACTCTGGTGTCCAGAAAATGTTCCCTGTAACGAAGTTTAAGAAGATCTGTCTGACAGCAGTTTAGAATCTTTGCTTGCAAATACAAATCTAAGAAATAAATAAATTTGGGAATGTCGTTTCCAGTTAAAACAGCAGCAAATTGTTTGAAATTGAATTTCTGACAGATCTGTTAAGTGTTTTGTTGGGTCTTTTTCTCCTTTTTTTTTCCTTCTTGGTCAGTGGAATGACAGGGATTATGAATAATAATAATAATAATAATAATGCCTTGAAAGATATGAGTTCTTATGTGTCTGTATCAGGACTTGGTGAACATTAACCTTATCCAATTCTCCATGATCCACAGAAACCACTATCTGACTCGACCTGTTTTTTCCAATACATATTTTGAGTGTATTGATTATGTGTACAGAATTCTTGCTGCTAACGAATGCTCTGACTTTATTGCACTACTGTACTTTACAGCTAGCAGTGCAATAGTATTGTCAAAGCATCTGAAAGCAGAGTACGCAGCAATGGCTTGAGTCTTGCCTCAGAGTTTCTAACACTTTCTTCTAAGCCTGTGAGTAAATTAAAAATTTACATTTCAAAAACTGCATTTTCTGTGTGACTGTTGTACAATACTTATCATAGGAAGGGTCCTAAGCTATAACATCAAGGTGAGATTTTTTGCCCATGTATGTTTCCTGAAATACAGCAAGAAACAAATATTTATAAAATAAAAGAAAAATGGATCGTAATGGAGGAACATATGGCAGTGCTTATAAACATGCTTTGAAATTGCTGATAATAAATTTTGTTTCTTTTAGAGTTAGCCTGCTTTCAGGAGAAAGCAGTGATACTGAACTGTGTTAATATTTTCATTAAGCACAAATCTTAAAATTATAGCCACACAATGGATAAGCATTCAGCTTCAACGTTCAATTTTGGATGTCTTGAATCATAGTAGTAGCATGGTATTAGCAGCTTACTGTCGTTCTGTAAATCTCAAATTATCAATATTGAATATTTCAGGAACTCAGCTTCATGGATAATTTTAAAAGCCACCCGTATTCATTGTCTGTTTTCCCAATAATTAATAATTAGATGAAGGAGTTGGAGAAAAGCAAAAACCAATCTTTTGGGGGTGCCTGCCCCCAGAAATTAAAACCTAAAAATACTTGCTAGTGGAAGAGGCCAGAAATGATTGAGCAGTTAGGAAAAAATCCCTCATGAACTCTTTAAAAATACATAGTGTAATAAAAAGTATTTTATTCTCACATTTTATCATCATTGGTTTCTGGGGTAAATGTGTGAAGGAGTGTTGTTGGGCAGATGGTTAAGTCATGGGCGTAACAGGTGAAAGCTTTCTCTTTGATTTATAGATGCTGAAGGTCTTTACTAGATTTATTTTCCTTAAGAGAAAATTTTCCTTTTCTTACTATTTGAAAATTTACTGAAGGTGTGTATGTGTATGAAATCATACATTTTCACTATGTCAGAAAGGGAGTTTTCCTTGTAGAGTATCTTGGATCGGACACTATTCCTTTAGGCTATCTGAAGTTCCAGATCCTCAGAGGTCTTAATGGCAGTTCCTCTAGGTGGATGCCAAGGCTGATGGCTAAAACATAAACATCATTTTGGTATCCAGGCCTGACGACAGGCTACATTCAAAGGCTACTGAAGTTTGTCACTTTAGCTACCGCTATAGCACTGCTCGTTAGTATTTTCGGATACAGCTAACAAAGACTTGTTCTGATCCTTTAAAAAGTTGTAATGGTTACCTCATGGTTAATCTTAATATAAATAGTAAAAAACAAGTTAAGTAAGTGACAAGCATTTTTAATTTGCTTTCATCATTCTCTTCTGTGACTGTAAAATCCCCAAATTATCACGTTAAGAAATTCATGAGTTTTTCATGAACTGGGAAAACTGCCTTTCTTTATGGCAGGATTCCTTAATAGATATTAAAATTGCAGACTATAATTAATTAGGTAATAATGCTATCAGCAGACTGTTTCACAAGGCAATTAGATAATTCTCTGGTGGCTTATTTATCCCAAGGAAAGAAATAATGATGTCATCAATTTTATCGTCTATTTGTCAGTCTGGTTTATTGGGGAATAATAAAATGTGTGATGGGTATTACACCCATCTGAGAGAATTCATTCCTAATATAATTAATAATAAAATCTCTGTTGATATGCTTGGATCCTGAGCACTTATTCATAATCTCTGTTGTGTAAATAACTGAGTATTGCAGTTTTGCTAACAGAGCTTTTAATGTTTGAAAAGAGAAGCAACTAGCCAAGAAAAAGCTCTAAAAAATTATAGCAAATATGCTAATATTTCAGCAAAAAAATTCAAACATCTCCTGCATCCAGTGGAGATCAGTTTAAAAAAGGTGCATGTTCTTTTCTGGTGATAGAACTTACCTTTTTGGTGGTAAAACTTCTTTAAAACTTCATCTGGGTATGTTTCGCATTGCAAGGGCACATATAACATAGGAAGAGACGGAAATGTTTCCATGCGTTGTGGGGAGCTGCATGAAAAAGGTACTAATGTCAAGATTCAGAGAGAACGTTTTGGTAATTTGGGTTAGGCAAATGGAAAGAAGATAAAGTTAATGTATGTGTGTGTACACACATTTAATTCTTATACATCAGAGGAAAATGGTTATGTTTAAAGTCTGAAAGCTTATTGCTTTATATTTTTCAGGCTAGAAGTGTGTCAGCATAATTGGCAAACATTAACTAATTGAATAGATTGGAGGAATAGAAAACTTACTTTTATAGTACATGAACCTGTAAAATGGAGGCATCTGGCTTCTGCTTTCCTGAAATACAGGAAAGGCGAATGGTTGGGTTTTTTCTACAATTTTTGGTTTTTAATATACTGTGGCTGATCTTAAGTGTTTTAGTTCCAGAAAGCAGAATCTGATCTGGATTATATTCAACACAGACTGGAGTTTGAAATAATGAAAAGTCTTCCTGATAATCCAGCAGCAGAGGTAGTATTTTCAGATTAAATTAATACATTTTACTGCATTTTGCATAAAGTTGGTAATAAATGGGTAATTTTCTTTAACCCTAAAATGTATGTGGCTGTTCTTTTATCTATTTGTTAGTTGGTTGTTGTTATTATTATACATGTCTTGTATCATGTATCAAGACAACTGGCCTAACTTCTCGGTATAGTGAAATTCTCCCATGTTCTGCCTTGAGAAGTGAGTAGTAGTGCTAACACTTGAATTTAAGAGACAGGTTCCAATCTGAGCTAAAATGCACCCTTGCACTGAGATCAAAGATAATCTTGCTAATAAGCAATGACTAAATTCAGATTTGGGGGAGAGATGAGAGGAAGAGGAAAACAATAAATGGCATCATGTAAATGATTTTATAAATAAGCCCGTGTCTCCATGTATATTGTGACGTATCGTGGAAAAATAATCGGTTTAGTGAGAAGTACATAATTTAATCCAACTCAGAAAAGCCATTAAAATTCAACAACACCATAAATCCATCCTCCTGTATTTGCTGTGCTGTTTTATTAACACTATCTATAATTTTTGCTTATGAAGAATTAAATCTATACATGAAACATGCTCACAGCTATGCTTTTCATTGTAAACGGTTCTTTCATGTTGTATTTTAGTGGCTCTAATGCCTACGTTTTAACTGGTATGTGGCCACATTAATTTTCTCTTCTTAAATAGTTTAAATGTACATTTATTTCTACATAGGAAAATCCAGTTGCTCTCTTGGAAGAACTCTCAGTGGTGAAATCTCGTTATAAAACTTTATGTATGCAGCTGGAAAAAGTTTCCATAGAGCAGAGAGAATCCATGAAGGGCATCCGTGCTGCTCTAGAGAACACAATGAAGATGGTTCAGGCATTGCAGCAACATACTAATCTTGAGGTAGTTTTTTCATTTTACTCACTTGGGTCTCACTCCTGTATATGAATATGTATTTGTGTAACCGTTATGTAGATGGTGAGTAGTTTCACTGGAAACTGTTATATGTGTAGACTCTTAGAAGATAAGACAACTGTTCACCAGAAGAAATGTTTGCAAGATTGGAGCTCTTTTTGTAAATCAAAACCCTGATTCATCACTCAACAGTTAGGCTAGCGGTATTCAGTTTTGGAGTTGAAGTAATACCATAATAGTGTGAATAAGGTGACACAGGTTTGAATAGTTTCATAAAAATTGATGCCTCTGTGCCCAGCTGTATCCCAGTTCTATACTGACATTTTTTAAAAGTAGCTACCTTAAAGAAATTAGAAAATTAAAACAATTTTTAAAAGAAAAAAAGCTTTTAAATGGCAAATGTATTTTCACTGTCTAAAGTGAGGAAGTTAAAACCAACACATTATAACATACGCAGTGGAATTACTGTTAGTGCAAAGAAGTAAGTTTTTCTTAGTATGATAATATCTATCAATTTAAAAAACCCAACAACAAACAACACATTTTCCTATGTGGTCTTCAGACACTGCTTCATTACAGTTTTGAAGAGGTTGTGAAAGCATTAATTTTGTCCCTCTACAAATAAGGTGATTTAGATTAAAAAAGCTAATTGTCTAAAGATAGTCTAGTGACAAAGACAGAACTAGTGGGACTAAAACATATTCCCAGATCTTGTCTCTCATTTTAACATTCGTATGACAGTGCCTCAAGATTGTGAACAGCTCTAGCCAAGTTACTGGTAAGTCTTTATAGATCAAGTGTACTGCATAATGGTTTAACAGACAGTGGCTGTATGTCACAGAAAGGAAAAAATACTTTCTTTCTCTGTGTTCCAAGGATATTTGGATTTTGTTAAAGTGGAAGACTCTTCACTCTTGAGTTATATTTAGACCTTTTAGATAAAGGTTTTCTTGTACTGTGTATAGTTCGTAAACCAAAGATGGATTAAAGTGTTATGGAAAAATGTAAGTCTTTAGGTGAAATACTTCTTTTTATTGAATAATTTATGTTCTTTCCATTGAATCATTTATAGTATTGATGTTAAAGGAATATTAGGTTTGGATTTTTCAGAAATACTTAGCTTGTAAACTTGCTTTAATTTGAAGGACAGTAGGAGTCTACTATTAGTTTCCATGAAAAAAAGGCTACACAAACATTGAGTTCTTCTGTAAATATCATCACCCTAGGAACTGAAATTATCAAGAGTCCTCTGTGTTTGTCTTTTTTTTTCCTAGCGCTTACCTCTCTCAGAAGAAGAACAGACTGCAGCACAGCAGTTAACCTGCCAAACTGTTAAAGAAATGGAATCGCTAGTCGAAGAGGTAATTAGGCCACAGAGTGTCAGTATTCCAGAAACCATTAATCCTAAGTAGCTCAACTGAAGTCAGAAGGGCTGGTTTTGTGACTTAATACCTCTCAATTGAATGGAATTTTTCAGAAATGGGACTGAAGTTTCTAACAAACCTTTTCCTTTTTATTGTATACTCATTATGATTTGTTCCAATTCAGTTGTCCACAAAGGAAAAATTTGCTTTGATGGAAGACTTTGTTCCCCTTTTTCAATTGGGATATGTTTTATGTTTCTTTTCAGAGATGCAGTTGGTTGCTCTTGTCGATCCTGTTCTGTTAACTCATTATATAAGAAGCCTTTGGGTGGGAGTGATGAATGTAATTTATTCATTGATGTGTATCAAAATGGAGAGAAATTTAATTTCCTGTAAAATATTAAATAAATTTTGGAATATGAGTAACAATAAGTATATTCTAACTGTAATGCAGTTGAACATAGATCTAAACTAAAACTTGTTATAAAGTTAGATGTTCTCCTATAGCTGCTCAAAGCACAAACTTCTAATATAATTATCTGTGAAGATTTGGTCTGAGTCTCACCTTAAAAGCTTATTAAAGAAGGTTCATGAAGTGTAATTATCGTATTGTCCTTATCTTTTTCTACATGTCTGCTCACTGCCCACTACTCTTCTGTCAAAGGATGCCTCGCTTTCTGTCCCTTTGTTGCCATGGTTAGTTTGCATGAAAGCCATCTGGGATCTTGCAGCTTCATTTACTCTTTGTTTGCAAATATCTTCTCCTACCTTGATAAACACTCTTAATTTCTGTCTTGCCATTATTTAATTTTAAAGCACCTAAGATACAGATAGCATAAAATAGGCCCAATGCAAAATGTAGCTCTATCCTACAGCTACTGAGGCCAGTGTAATTGGTATCAATCGCTATGTTGTCACTGAATGTGTTTTGAAGGTGTTTTCTGCAAGCAGAAAGAATGGAAAGGTGTCACAAAGGTCCTGGGATGTTTTCATCAGTGCTGGTATTTCTGGCCAAGGAGAGCTAGATATAGCTACCTTCAGCTTGTCAGAGCCGTCAGCCTCTGAAGGTTGCTTGGGAATAGGAAAACCATCTTTTTCTTTGCTGCATGTGCAGTGCTTTCAGCTAGATCCATACCGGAATGTAAAGGAGAAAGCTGAACAGGCTCATCTGCCTTATATATAAATCTTTCTGTGTCTCTTAATTTTATTTGAAACCATGGTTTGTTTAGTGCCTAAGATTTTGCTGTTGACTTCAGTGGCTGCAAGATCCTTGGTTATCCACTGGTAAAATGTAATTACTCATGCAAAAAATGAAATTGTAAAAAAAAAAAAAAATTAAACAAAATTCCAACAAATCCTGATGTTATCTCTTGTTTATTTTTAGCCATTTTGCTCAGAATCTGCAGTCCCTAGCTCAACTGAAGGTATGCGCTGAAAGAATAATCTTCCTGCTGTTCCCCCCCCCCCCACCCCACATACCCGGCCCCAGTAAGTAAGCTTTGTGAATAGTATCAATCTCTCAAGAGTTCCATTTCTAATACTGAACTCCAATAGTTCTGTACTATTTAAGCATATGAATTTACCATCTAGAATCCAGGGAGTAATGAATTAAACTGTTTTACTTTCTGAAAAGGGCAGATATTGTAAATAACGTCAGCTGACAAATAAGGGCTGCATTACCCCTAGTACAGTAGGGGCAAATCTCACAGTAAGTAGGAATAGGCTGAGACCTGTCATTTAAAAAAAAACAGAGCCTATGATGCTTGGTAAATTCACTGTTTCCATTCTCAAGCACTAGTAACTACATACACTTTTATGTGAAGAATTTAGACTTTAATATAAGAAACTGACTCAGTTACATTCCACATATAGTTCCCACGTCTGAGAGTTTTTCTTGCTTTTGGTAGGATTGAAGTGGATACTGTTGTGTTTATGGTCTGGAAAAAATGGTGTACTAGTCTTATCATAGAAATAGCTCTTTCTTAATCCAGTTATCCCTACTTATAGAAAGGAATTTTTCTAGTTCTTTTTTTTTTTAAAAACAAAACAACCAACTACTCATTGAGAGACCAAACTTGTTAATCCGTATCAGATCTTAATTGAATGATTTTTCATTGGGTCTGCAGATATAATGATAGTTTGGAGAGAATATCTTCCTCTTCTCCTTCCTCTTGCTGGAAAATGACCTTTAGACCCATTGAGAGGGCTTCTTAAAAAGTAACGAAAATTCTTTCTATCTTTGGCCTAATTTCTGAAGAAACAAATATCTTCTTTTTCCAATTTTTTAGAATTGCAGTTCAAACCATTGACTGAGGAAGTACTTATGACTGTACCAAGGAGTATCAGAAGTACTGTTAAACTGGCAGACTTGAACAATTTCTACAGGGAGTTATTTAACCACTTCATTGTAAATAAGAACAGGTAAGACTTAAAGCCATCCATTAGTAAGAATTTTGTAAGCGGTAAAGATATTCAACCTTTTCAAATTAAACAGGTAGTTAACCATTCACTGCTATATTATAACTTCATAATTTGATTTGACCCCCCTACATCCTTCCTGGTTAGGCACACACCCCAAAATGTTAGGCCATCATACAAAGCCCCCTAAATTAATTTGTATAAAAATGGCTTGTATGGTTTGATCATTTTCAAAACTGCAGGTCAGGTTCTTCAGAAACAGATTTTTTTCACTTTCGTTTCACTGCACAGATGTCCAAAAGTGGGTCTGTTCAGGCAAGTTTTGCTGATACAGCCATGCTGCCAAACCCGTTTAGCTTTCAGAATCTGCATCCAGAGTGGAAAAGCAAAGCCCTGATGCTAAACTACGACCCCTGAACCCTGCCCTACCCATACCAACCCCTCCTGCCTCCTCAAGCTCTCACCCCTATCTGGGATGCATGCTGCAGATTTATTGCAGGCTGATGTTAAAAATA